CATGCGTGTATACACCCACGCCTGTTCCTGTACATCTCTGCATGTACCCTGCCCCCCTCTACCCCACATATACCCCAAGACCCAGCCCACCAAGCCATGCAGGGCCAGAGGTCTGTACCCCACCCTTCAAGCCCCTGGTTCTTTGCAGGGAGAAGAGACCCCCCACCTCTTCCCCCTCACCCCAACCAATGGCCAAACCCACCTGGAGCAGGTTGCGACAGGCACTGGCTGTGAAACGTGGAGGCAGCTGGATGCGGGGGAACAGGACAAGCACCAGGCACCAGCCCTGCTGTGCCTGACCCAGAGACACCAGCTGCCAGCTGCTGGGCCCTCGTCCTGGTGCTGGGCCCTCGTCTATAGGGCTCTGGATGCTTAGCTGTAGTGAGGCAGGTGGGGCTGGGCACTCTGGATAGCAGGTGCCAACAGGGTGACAGGGCACAGGTGGGTGCCAGCCTACAGCATGGCTGGCACAGCTGTGGAGGGGGCTGCAGAGCTCCAGCATCATGCCAGGCCCAGCTGGGCATGGGCTGCTCCTGCTCAGAAACAGCACTGGCACCATGCGGGGCCAAGGCCTGGGGAGGCAGGGGGGGCACGGGCATGGGCACAAGCCAGGAACCATGTGCAGGGCACCAGAGCGGGTCAGAGAGAGAGGGAGAGACACAGCCCATGGGGGTGAGGGAGCGGGGCTCAGGTCAGCATATACATGGGCATGTATGTGTGCAAGGGGACTCAGGATAGTGTGCATACGCACTAGAAATAAGCCATGGGGGGGGTGCAAGAGGCCAGAGCATGCTCAGGTCAGAGTGTGTGTGTGTGTACAGGGGTGAGTGAGGGGGTCAGCATGTGTCTTGCCCAAGGGGTTGGGGAGCCTCTGGCCGCAGGTGGAGGGTGCAGGCCTCGGGCCCCAGGCTGGCCTTGGCTGGAGGCTGGGGCTGGGCAGGCTGCCCCCATGCAGGTCTTGGAGCTCTCCGCACCAGTGCGGGCACTGGAGATACACCCATGGCAGCCCCCACAGTCCTGGGTTGGGTGCAGGATGGAGACCCCGCTCAACTGCCCTCTCAAGCAGCCGGACACTCCCTGCAGCTGAGCCTGCAGCATGAGGCATGGACAACCCCCAACCTATCCCCTTGCCAGTGCCCTTGGGAGCTTCCCTCTTGCCCCTGCTTTGCCCTCCTGCACCACGCTGAGCCCTCCCCCTCCCCTGCTGCAGCAGGCAGTGCCCAACCCCCCTCCCCCCACCTTCTTGCCCCCCACCC